ATGAATAAACATCGGAATTGTCATCCTATCAATCCGAGGTTCATGGAAAAAGCTTTCGGACTGCCATTCTCCACCAATCCATAGCCACTCTTCCTGGAAACCATGAAGAGTCTCCGGGATGTCGGTTATTATCTCGCCGACCTTGAGACCGTGCTGTGGTTTTGCTCCGGCAAAGAAACAACACGAAGATTCCGCAACTCTCCTCTTCGGCATCTGTTTAAAGGTGAAGATACTCCTCATCTCCTCACACGACGGTAGACCCTCACCTCTCTCGTGTAATAACACCATTAGCCCGATTATCTTCTTCCAACTGTTAGGAGAAATTTGGCACAATGGTAACTCCCAACTTCGGAGGTACTCCGTAATCAAATTCGGCAAAGGGAATCTCAACCCCGACCTCAAACTCTCAGCGAAGACTCCGACACAACCCGGAGGAGGGCTAGTTATCCTTTCCCCCGGGTAAGGTGCAAAAATTTTCACCGAAGACGGAATCCGTACTTGCTCTCGGGCATCACCACGTCGGCATCGGTTAGAATTCTTGGATCGCCCTCAAAATCGACGGTGGGATCAGGCCATTTCCTCACCGGCCTCCTCCAGTGAGGCACCTCGCCGTCTTCATCGTTCGGCTTAATATCCAAGTGACTCACCGACATTGGATCCCACCGATGATACTCGAAGGCCAGTTCGACCAATTCCGAGTCATGGTAAACCTCCAACAGAACCGACTCGGTACTCGAAAAACTTGCTACAGCCTTACCCTTCCCCTTCCATGCCATCGAATACAAACAATACAAAACGAAGAAGCGAATAAAAATTGAAGATGAAACTTACCAAAAGATCAGCGAACAAGTAGCGCACAAGGAATAGTTCTCAAATTCGCAAGGAATATTCGACAACAAGATTACTATTTGCAAGAACTCAAGAAATAAAGCGAAAGTGAAGAAAAGTCGATTAAAAATCCCGGTGCCCTATTTATAAGCCTTAATTTCTGACCGTTAACATTCTCAATCGACATCACGTGTAATCGACGCGACCTTCCTTCCCCAAATGGTGCAATCAAGTGGCCGTTATTTTATTAAAGTAGTCGTTACTGTACTTAAGGCCATTACGGCGCAACTCTTCACACTGTACCTTTAATATGTCCGATCGTTACGCCTTTCCAGATTCCTCCCTTTACTTCCCAGACAACAACAAATTCTACCAAGTGTGTCCACCTCGGAAACTGGTTCTCACTTCGGAACAGACGATTCACTTCGGTCACCTCCCACATGTCAGAACATCAAGGACAAGCGTTTTCGGACTCCAATTTCCCACCGGTTCGAAGCTTCTGTTTGTCTTGCAATACTGGCGACCATCACTCTGTATGCCCACCGATATTTGGGGCCTCTCTGTTATCATCCGACTCGGTAAAACACAATTAAGGGCCTTGAACAGCATCTTCAACAATTTTAACATCAGCACCGACAAGACCCGAAGTCATCCCAGTCCGTACGACAAACCGACACAAACCAGGAAACCAGAGTGATTATTTTTCAACCGAGGTCATTCTAAACCGAGATCGTCACCTCAGAAGCAGGTGACAAGGCGCCTACACGCCATCCTCACAAATTACGAGATCCGCTATCATTCAAGTGGGACCCGCTGATCCTGCCGCCCATCAAAAAGTGACTTTATAGAAAAAGTAACGTTCGAATCCCGATGTACATACTAAAAATTACTATAAATAGCGAACTAATGGTACTTGTACGGGGTTTTTTTTTCGATCCTTGAACCGTTTATAATGCAACACGCAACAGCTCATCGAAGCTTTTCACCTCGGTTCACCTCGGACCGGGGCCATTGCTGAGTACCTTACGTATACTTTACCTTCAAATCATCGATATTACGTGACTAAATCAACCATTAAATCGTTGTTACTAATCGCATAACAACAATTGTATAATTTATTTTTTAATAAGTGTTTTATAATTTTGTTTAATTATTTTGTGAAATACAATTTTAATATAAATTAATTACACAAATTGTGTAAATCTGACTGATTTATTCAATATGTAAATAACTACTACAATTATGGAAATATGGATAAGAATAATTAATTATGCAGTTTGCAGAAAACTGTTCCAAAAAAATTGTATTGTGGACAATTTTTATTTAAATATTATTTAATAAATGTTGTCCATTTTTGTGTATTTAATTGCTCAAATTGTGGAATTAAACAAATAATTAGACAATAAAAATTTACATTTGTAAGATACCCTAATTACGTAAATTGTGTAAATTTGATTGATTTCTTCAATTATAATTTATTATAAATTATTCTAAAATAATTGTGTTAATGGCAGTTTCTATTTAATTTATTTAGTAACTATTTTAAGGTCATTTTTATTTTTATATAAAATAAATGTGAGTTTTGATTTTGTTTTGTACGCTAGACAATTAATTTCGTGGTTAAATCGAATATCATTTTTTGAATTTTATAGATCAAATATGAAATCAAGTTATTCGCTATACTATATATTGATCCAATATACCTGCTTATGGTAATAAATGATATCTCAATTTTTTTTTTTCATATTGCTAAGTATTTTACTCGATATTAATGAAAGAAAATCTGGATAATACTACTTTCCATTCTTCTTTGTAAATGTGCGTGGAACATATCAAATTATTTGGTGTGTGTGTGTGTGTTGTATATATAAAAGTTTGTTTTTACTTAAATCACACTGTAGTCAAATCGAATTTCTAAATAAAATTATAAAATGACATCTATTTTGAAATGAATATAATCTAACTTATTATCAGTTACTTGCACCATACCGGTCGTGTATTAGTTTTAAATAGGCATGTTTTATGTAATTTTGCACAATTTAGATTTCATATAACATTTTCAACAAATTAATATAGGTAAATCGTATTACATATTGATCCATATTTCTATTTTATAAATATTGTTAAATGAGAGCATTAGTAATTTATAATGTTAATGAATAGTTCATACACGTGCATCGCACGAGATTTGTACTAGTATATAAAAAAGAGTAGCTATATAATGGGTAATAAGGTCAATGAACATAAAAAATACCAAATTGCTAATAATTTTACTAATTAATGACCATGTTGGGTATTTGACTTTATGAACCCACGCCCCAAAGTCAACTACTCTTCACACCATCTATATTTATCTTCAATCTGGATCGGGAGACATTCATACACACACGGTACATCCCACAGGCACATAGTACACACATGGGTTTAGTGAGGAAAAACCAAAACCCGCCACCATCAGCCTCCCCGAATGTCTCCCTTCCCGGGCCCCACGTCCTCCAGCCGATCCTCCACTACGACCCCAATAACAGTGTGTGCTCCATCTGCCAGCTCCAGTCCAGCGGGGTTATGTTGACGTGCAAGACGTGCAACCTCAGCCTCCTCCACCAGCCGTGCGCCGAGTTCCATCAAGCCTGTGCCCGCCTCCCGAGATCCCTCCCCCACCCTTCCCACGCTGGCAGCTGCGCCCTCCCACTCTCCCTGGCCCATTGCGCCTACCCTGGCGGCAAGTTCATATGTGACGGCTGCCGTCAGCCTGGGGAGCGCTGGGGCTACCACTGTGCCAAGTGCAACTACGACCTGCACGAGCGGTGTGCGGTCAGGCCACAGAGGATCAGGCACCGGGCCCACGCGTCCTGCGAGCTGGCCCTCATTTTCAAGGGCCCATTTCCGAATTCACTCGGGTTCGTATGCAATGTGTGTCGTCAGCCAGGGCAGAACGATCAGTGGCGCTACCGCTGTCACAAGTGTGATTTTGACCTCCATTTGGATTGTGTTGTTTGAAATCGTTTTCTTCTCATCTACTGAGATTTTTTTTTTCTTTTTTTTTTTTTACTTTAATTGGACGCGTTTTGGTTTTTGTTTCTTTATGATATCTTCTAGATATTATTGGTTAATGTGTGCCGGATAATTAGGAGCTGGAAAAAATAATTTTGTCTAATAATTGCGTTAGATTAGAAAAATCACGAGAATGAAACTCAGTGTTTAAATTCAATGTCGGTTAATGAAAACCTCTTATTTTCTTTTTCTTGCAATTAATTGATATGATAAAGTTCCTTAACTTTTGGGTTTGGTTGATTATACTTTTTCACATTGTTTTAGTATTTAACTAAAGTAATCCTATAAGTACATAATATAATATTGTAAATAAGGGTGTACATAACACTCACATTGAGTGAGACAATCAAAAATAAAAAATCAAGTGAAATAGGACCCTATTCATTGTGAGTGTTATGTACCCATCTATGTACATTTGTTATGTACTTGTAATATTTTTCCTTTAGTTAATTGGCAGCGGTATGTCAAAACTCGTTCATCAACTATTTGTCCTATAAACGGTTCACTACAATAATATAATGAAATTTCAGTTGAAAATATTTCAACTGAGTTATACTTCAATGAAATTCCAACGACAATTCTGATAGGTATTCCAATACTATTATTTTCGTTAAAATTTTTTAATAGATTCCCAACGGAAATTCCAACAATAATAATCCGTTGGAATGAGTTTTCCGTTAAAATTTCTGTTGGATTTTGACGATTCCAACATACATTTTTCAAACGGTTGAAATATGAATGAAAATAAAAATTTCAACGGTAAAAAAACCATTGAAATAATGGCAATGGAATGATAAAATTTATCTAAATTCTGATGGAAAAACTCAATCCAAGTTGTGCGGCCGTGAACGTCGAAAAAGCAGGCCCCAAGCCGCGAAGGAACCAGTGAGATTTGTCGGTCGAATCAATAGACCGACCGATGGCAGCAAGTTCGTCACAAATTGCCTTGAAACGCTGTCCATATTCAGAAAAAGAAAGATCGCCACGCTTGACCGAGAGAAGATCATCCTTCAGGCTGAGCTCTCGAGCCTTCGAGGCATGGCTATAGGCGCGAGTGAGAGAGGTCCAGACATCGCAGGACGAAGTGCAGCCAATAACAACGGCCATGGACTCCTCCGTAAGAGTGGAAACAAGGAATGGCCGGATCAGTTGATCCCGGGAATACCAAGTGGCGAACTCGGGATTGGTACTTTTTGTACCTGCCGGTGTAGTGATCTCGCGCGATGGGCATGGGGATGAGCCATCCAGATGCGGAAGAAAACCCTGGGTGATGAGAAGGGGTTCGATCTGGGCATGCCACAAAAGGTAATTTGCGGAAGTGAGTTTGATATTTACCATATGGATCATTGTAGACAAAGGAATCGAAGGAATGCTACCCTCGGCGGCCATGGAAGAAACAGCGATGGCCGGAAAAAATTAGGGTTTGCCAAAGAGTTTGGCTGATACCATGTGATAATCAAAGAGATCTTATTCTCACTTGCATAAACTAAATACATGAGTACGAATATATAGAGTACTATACGGAAAAGAAGGAAAAAAATAAACTAAAGATATGCAAAGATTTGAGTATATCATAATATATCTAACAGAATCATTCCAACGGGAGCTGTACCATTGAAATATCCGTTGGAATTTCTATTAGAATATATTGCCGTAGAATTTTCTGTTGGAATATGACATTTTCTTGTAGTTGTCCATTAACGGATGAAGTTTATCTGGTGTTCTATTAAATAGCCCACCCGATATTATCTAAATTTATACGACTAATGCTTTCATCTTTCACATCCACCTAACAAAAGTTTATTGTTTATATTTTTGTAAGGTCATCTGCAACTGCTACTTCATCTCTAGAGTTTATTTTAATATTCAATAGATTGAATCAATAATTATGACTGAATATAATTAATTTGATAACTAATTTTATATTACGTGAAAACACATTATACATATGTATGTTTGTATTGTATCAATTTATATGTAGTTTCTACACATGTATAATATAAAGATCAATTTTTCTATGGAGCCATCGGATTGCTCGGCTTATGGAGCCATCCACAATTATCCTCAAATAAAGTATTGACACGTGTCCTACAATAAATATACTTTTGGCATGTGTCAATGCATTAAGTGATGGATGACTCTATAAGAAAACCATCCGATAGCTCGATAGAAAATTTGATAAAAAGATTTGCTAAACTTCTAAACTAATGTAACGCATTGTGCCCTTTCATAAAGAACGGTGTTTAGGTGGCTGTCGTTTGATAGACACATATAAATAAGATTTTGAGTCTTCTGTCTGCCCACAAAGTCAACGAGATACGATCTAAATGTATTTGAACATGTGATATAGGTCGTGTGCTACCTTAAGAGCGGTAGTACTGGATCAGGTGAACTGATTGGTTGGCCAGATGTCAAGGACATTGAAGGTCGAAGAATTATCAGGTCGATGGTGATCTCACAGATGAGAGAACTCATCAACAGGTCATACTAACTCGCTCGGATGACGTGATGAAAACATGATCTGGAGGTCCGCAGGTCGAAGCACGACCTAAAAAGAAGGTTTATCACTGAAGGTCGAAGCAACTTAGTTCAAGCGATCCGAGCAGATTAGCACAATTAGATCACCTAATGATGTAGTCTAATGTGAACACACAACATAATAGATAAGAATGATTAAGATAAAAAGAATACGTGCATAGGACCACGTGGCCTAACAGAATTTGACAGTTTGGGCACACGGGCAGTACAAATGGGTAGCTCAGGCAACCTAGCCAGGCATTCTTGGACAACGAAGTAACATTTCTAATGAAGGGGTAAGGTATGACTACTTCCACTTTACACACTCTAATATTTTACAAGCTATATACAGGTCATTATGTTCATCATCTTCTTCATCACTCTGCACTGACGAGCGTCAGAGCTTCTACATCGGGGCAACTGCTGACGCTGTTTTGCTGATCTTTGAACTTGTCGAGAGTGGATCCAAGGTCGTTCGAGCCAGTTGAGATTGTTTGCACTACCATTTGCGCTGTCTATGGGAATTTTTATTCAAAAAGCCTAAGTGCAGTTGTTCATGGCGAGTGAAGATCCCTGAAAAAACCTGGAGCCTAGCTTCACTAAGACATGGGTCTTAAGTCGTTCGATTGGATCAGGCCCACAACCGAGATTTTTAAGGTGAATTTTAAAGCCGATAACCCAGAATCCAAACCCCAATGGTGTCGGGGGTTGTTCTGCATCTCTTGCAGCAATTAGAGGCTCGTCTAACTAGAGGAAAAATCAAGCACAGAGGTCTTCCCAGTATCCTGATTCAGACAGATCTAATCCAGGTAGACAAGATGGGACCACCAACACTCAGAGTTGCACCAGTGGGCCAGTAGGTTGTTACTCTCACGAAAGAAAAGCTCAACATGATGATTGCAGAAGCAGTTGCCGTTAGGTGTGCTTAGCTGCAGTTGTCGAGCCCGATGAACCCTACTGCAATGAAAATAAAGAAGGAAGTCGATATATTCATTAGCTCAGTATTTGAAGATTAGAGGGACCTAGTTGTGGAGAAGATGGCAGCTCAGATTCGTGAGTTGCATGACCAAGTAGAGGGAAAGCGAATTGAGAGCTCGAGGGCACCCTTTTTCCATAAAATATTAGATGTTAACCTACCACTTGGATTCACAGAGCATAGTATCCTGTATGATGTGTCCTCTGACTCATCTCGACACCTGATGAGCTTTGAGAACATGGAGGTTTTACGTGGCTATACTGTTGAAGTATACTAGAAAGAAAATTTTTGTGTGAGCTTTTAGAATGTTTTCATTCGGTTTTCCAATTGACTGAAGTAAGTGTTTTAACATTGTTGCACTCTTAATGATTGCTTGTATGCTAAATGTTTAATTATCTTATGTTGTAGACAATGTGGTAAGTTAGTAGTCCAAAGAAGATTACATTGTCGGTTCCTTATAAGATGTAAATGGTATTCACAACTGAGATAGTTATGGGCATGACTAAGGTTGTAGTATAAACTTGATGTAGCTTTTTATGGGCATGACTAGGGTTGTAGTATAAACTTGATGTAGCTTGTCTTGGCTATTGGTTTATACTAGCGCGCTGTGTTGCATTGAAAGGATCACAATTGAGACGTGTTCTTCTGTTCTGACTATCATGAGGAACCAAGGTCTCGGTGACTCTACAATTCGTAACCCTAACTGTGATTCTTAGATATCTGGGATATTTGTTTGTTACTTTCACTTACCATGAGTGAAGAACCAAGTTAATTCGGTTCATATGCTCTGTATCTTGGGTAACGACATTATATACATGATATCCATTTATTGGCATTAGGGCATCATGTTATGGTCATCTAGCTTGATGATGGCCCCTTAAGGAACTCATAAGGATTATCGTATCAAACCCTGCAGGTTGATTTAATTTTCACGAAGATAAGGTTGAGTGCTACTACTTAAGTAATAAAAGATATTAATTAACTAAAGCAGTCAGAAGTTTTAAAAAGTAATGGACGTGCAATATCTTTAACATGGGGAATTGTATTGAGTCTAATAGAGTCCCTGGTTCATTTCGGGATAGGAAAGGAGTGGATTATTAATTCTCTGGTGGAATGAATTAATAGTTACGGTCTAAATTGTGTTATGTGCTGAACATAAGAATTTGGGCCACTAGGGAGCCGAAACCCTATACCTTCTCAGTCTGGTCCAAGGACCTTTATACAAGGAGGAGATTGCATACGTCTTAAACCCTAAGGGAAGAGGAACTCGTGCGACACTTTCTGAAGCCATCTAGCGACAAGAGTGATGAGACGGGATCGAAAAAGACGAGACGCAGTATACTCTTTGCAACCGTTTGGAGGATGCCGTCCATCCGACGTCCGAACATGGTGGGGACACGCACTAGAATATCGCCTCTATCAAATCCAATAATAATGATTTTCTGAGGTGCAGGGAATTTCTTGCGACCTCGGAGGGAAGAACTCAAGATTGGTTCTTTATAATTTTGAATTTGGTTGATTATACTTTTTATTGCTTGATGATGGACAGGTCCGATCAACGTTTAAAACAAAAATTAATAAAGGTTAGAAAGTTAGAATAAGAAAGATATACGAAAAACATTAGGTTTTGTACTTTTATTATATAATAACGAGGTCGGCCTCTAGTGACGAGGTCCGCACTTTACTTGCAGTGCAAAGTATTTACGGGAATTAATTACAGAATTCTGGAGAGAGAAAGTACTAGTTGAGGAATTCAACAACTCGTAATAAATGAATTGGGGCCTCTTTTTATAGTATTTCTAGATCAGACACTGTTTGGTCACTATAAACCGGTCTTGTCGCACAGTATTTCTACAGGGTAGACCGGTGCCGCTCTAACAAATTTAAAGCAATTTGAGGTTTTCTTAATCATGAAATGTCATGTATTTAATGCAGACATGGTGGGCATTTAACACTGACAGGATTTTTGTCGGGCTAGATACCATAGGGTGGCAGGCTAGGGCGGTCTGTCCCATCGGCAATCATCCGCTGCCAAGTGGCATTTCTATATTATTTCTGAGCAGCGCGCTCGCCTGGGAGTCGGTCACGTAGGATCTCTAGGTCGGCTCTTGAGCATTTCATCTTCCCCTGGTCTTTAGGAGTCTTCTTCTCAGCTTGGTGATTAACAAGGTCAGCCTCGTCCGTTGGACAGAAAGTGTGCCGACCTCAGGAGTGACGTTATTCGGTGGCAGTGATTATCTTAATCAGTTCGGCACTTCCACAATTATTTGGGATTCCAGTTTGGGTTTTGAGGTCGTCTCTTCCCGGTTTACGTTCAACTAACTCGGATGTCAACATACAGGCCCCCGAGCTTGGATCAGAGGTCTTTGGTATCTCTTCTAAGGTCGTCTCCTAATGATATGACCTGAGTTTGTCTGGTCTTATTTTGGCTTCTTGCTCATAAGGTCGGCGTCGCTACCTGACTTGTGGGGGATTTTACTGTACGTTGCATTGATGGCGTGACGTTAAGAGACAAATCAATTAATACGATGTGGCCATTATATTCATTGTCGAACCTAAAAAGTCACACCGCTTCAAAATCATTCGACGTGGCAGACACGTGACCGTATCCGGTCCGTCCGTGTCATATGTTGCGTACGTTCGATGAGGGACCGTTACGTGGCCACTGTTGGATCTGTGAGAATCTCGTTATGTACAAATCACGAATTCAATAGTCAACGTAAACCTATGCACAACGGATTTAATG